ATGAATTGGTAACTAGTGAAGAATACACAAAAAATAAGCCTCCTAATTCTATAGTTTAATATTTGAAATGTGTGTTACTCAGAATTTATATAAAAATATATTTTTAAAGCATTAGAATAGCTGTATAAAGAAAGCTATGTTGATATTTTACCTAAAGACTGTGCATAATGAATAACACTCTGCTATATCTAGTTTCTCAATTAGGGGTGGGAGTTGTATTCATTATTTAGCTCCCATACAGTGTATCTACTACTTACACCCCAGATTTTCTTTTTTTTTTTTTTTTTTTTTTTTTGGAGACAGAGTCTTGCTTTGTCATCCCCAGGCTGGAGTAGCGCAATCTCAGCTCACTGCAGTCTGCACCTCCTGGGTTCAAGCGATTCTCTTGCCTCACCCTCCCAAGTAGTTGGGACTACAAATGCGTGTCACCACGCCCAGCTAATTTTTGTATTTTTAGTAGAGACAGGGTTTCACCATGTTGGGCAGTCTGGTTTCGAACTCCTGGCCTCAAGTGATCTGCCCACCTTGGCTTCCCAAAGTGCTGGGATTACAGGCATGAGCCACTGAGCCCGGCCTACACCCCACATTTTCTCTGAGACATCTTCAAAGGCAGTTTACTAGTCCTGCTGAAGAGACAACTGTCATTTACATAACATTTTAAAGTTTTACAAAATACTGTCATGAATTAGGTTAAACCATATGAAATTGCTGATATTTGACCAGCTGTGACTTTTCAAACAACAGTTTCATGTAGTTTAACCTATACATTATTTCAATTAATTCTTGGAACAGACGTGAGGTAGGTGAGGCAATTCTCTCTTTTCACTAACCTACGAAGTACCTTTATAGATGTGAGATGATTCCCAGCTATTAAGTAGTAAATAGAGCTGGGACTTGAGCCCCAATCTTCCAGCTTCAATTCAGATCATATGACAGCTTGCTGATTAAACTAGATGACTAAGGAGATCTCTTTCCTTCAGACACACATACTTTTTCTCTCTTCCCCTCTCCGTATCAGCTAGATTCCCCTAAATCACTGATACTGGTTTTGTAATTTTGCATTGGCATGTTTGACAATTGGTATCACATTTTTTTGGATTTTCATTCTTTTTTGGTCTGAACTTTTCATTTCTGCTTTTAAAGAAAATACTTTCGGAAACAAACATGTGGGTTTGCAATTTATAAAGCAACTTTTCCACTTATTTTCTTAGAATATTGATATACTTTGCAATGAAGCAGAAAACAAGCTTATGCATATACTGCATGCAAATGATCCCAAGTGGTCCACCCCAATTAAAGACTGTACTTCAGAGTCGTACACTGCTCAAATCATTCCTGGTACAGGAAATAAGCTTCTGGTAAGTTAATGTAAACTCAAGGAATATTATAAGTATTATATATGGAGGCCATTGTATATTCTGTTGTATACCTAGTAAACATGGTAAAATGTAATTAAACTTAATTAGAAAGTGTTGTTATGTGGTTCCTATAAATATAGGTTATTTAGAAATTTTATTTGTTGAAGCAAGATATGAAACTTTGGGTGCAAACTTTCCAAACAGGTGCTTTCATATACATGTGATTGAAAAGTGTTTTTGCCTATTTATTTCACTGTTCCATACAATTAGGGTTGTTTCTAAGCTGTTTGTAAGCTGTTTCTAAGCTGTTTAAGTGGTTAAATCACAGTAGATGCAAATCAAGCTAAAGTCTTTAATATTGGCTAATGGCTGATTCTTAAATAGCTAATACTTGCTAAGAGTATCTATATTAACTCATTTAATCCTCGTAACAACCCCATGAGATAAAACCTACATCCTCACTTAACATTGTCAATAGGTTTTTGGAAACTGATTTTAAGGGAAGTGATGTATAACAAAACCATTTATTTTTCTCATCAGTGTTCTAACAAAACGATGTTGAAGGAAATGACATTGCTCAAAGACCTGCTATATATTGTTTGACTCAAAGTCACAGTTTCCAAGAACCTGTCAATGATGTTAAGTGAGGACTTTACTGTATTATCCTCATTTTATAGATGAGGAGACTCATCTATAGAGAGCATAGAGAGAGGTTAAGCAATTGCCTAATAAAGTCATAAAGCTAGAAAAGTAGATATTAGAACCCAGGTAGTGTGTGTTTTTAAGATGGCTTTAAAATGTTTATGTTTGTTTAATCTGTTAATAATAAAAAAGAAAAGATTGAAGCGTAAGTGGTGTCCCCTACCTCCTTTTAATCTTTTACTGTGATTATTCCTCTTCTTCCTTTCTTTTAATGTCATTTTATATGCTCTTACGCAAAATTACTTCCATCTAGAATAGGAATAATGTGAATTGAAATCACCTAACCTATTAGCAATTAGGGGAGGGAGATTGTGTGTAATATTTGCGTGCTTAAATATTTTCAATGAAAAAAGTTACTTCGATTTAGTTTTTTATGTTAGTACGTAATTATGATAGGCTACGTTTTAATTTTTTTATCAGATTTCTTCTCCTAATTGTGAGCTATATTATCAAAGTCCTTTATCACTTTGTATGGCCAAAAGGAAGTCTGTTTCCACACCTGTATCAGCCCAGATAACTTCAAAGTCTTGTAAAGGGGAGAAAGAGATTGATGACCAAAAAAACTGCAAAAGGAGAAGAGCCTTGGATTTCTTGAGTAGACTGCCTTTACCTCCACCTGTTAGTCCCATTTGTACATTTGTTTCTCCAGCTGCACAGAAGGCATTTCAGCCACCAAGGAGTTGTGGCACCAAATACGAAACACCCATAAAGAAAAAAGAACTGAATTCTCCTCAGATGACTCCATTTAAAAAATTCAATGAAATTTCTCTTTTGGAAAGTAATTCAATAGCTGATGAAGAACTTGCATTGATAAATACCCAAGCTCTTTTGTCTGGTTCAACAGGAGAAAAACAATTTATATCTGTCAATGAATCCACTAGGACTACTCCTACCAGTTCAAAAGATTATCTCAGACTGAAAAGACGTTGTACTACATCTCTGATCAAAGAACAGGAGAGTTCCCACTCCGGTAAAGAAGAATGTGAGAATAATAAGCAGGACACAATTATAACTAAAAAATATGAGCATTTGCAAATGTGACAATAAATTATTGACGCTTAACCTTTCCAGTTTGTAAAACTGGATATAATTTCAAACCACACGTTAGTACATACGTTGCACAATGAGAAAAGAAATTAGTTTCAAATTTACGTAAGCATTTGTATATCAGATGTTCTTGGCCCGACTCTGTATTGGTATACTTTTGCTTCAGTTGCATATCTTAAAACTAAATGTAATTTATTAACTAATCAAGAAAAACATCTTTGGCCGAGCTCAGTGGCTCATGCCTGTAATCCCAACACTTTGAGAAGCTGAGGTGGGAGGAGTGCTTGAGGCCAGGAGTTCAAGACCAGCTTGGGCAACATAGGGAGACCCCCATCTTTACAAAGAAAAAAAAGAGTGGGGAAAAAAATCTTTAAATCTTTGAATTTGATCACTACAAGTATTATTTTACAAGTGAAATAAACACCATTTTCTTTTAGATTCTGTCATTAAATGAAATAAGGTCTCTTAGTACAGTTATTTTTATGCAAATAATTCCTTTTAGTTTAGCTACTATTTTAGGGAATTTTTTTTTAAAGGTAACTCACTATGAAATAGTTTTCCTTAATGCACGTGTTGGTTCTGCTATAGTTCCATCCTGTTCAAAAGGCAGGATGAATGTGATAGAGTGGTGTTTCCTTTTGAGCAATTCCTCATCCCTAAGTCAGCATGATTATAAGAAAAATAGAACCTTCAATGTAACTCTAATTCCTTTTTACTATTCCAGTGTGATCTCTGAAATTAAAACTAAAAATTCAAATACTTTAAATCAGAAGATTTCATAGTTTTTTTTTTCCCCCAACAAAATGGTCATCCAAACTCAAACCTGAGAAAATATCTTGCTTTCAAATTGGCACTGATTCTGCCTGCTTTATTTTTAGCACTATCACAGGACCCAGAGCCTATGCCCTTTTAAACTTACCATAAAAGCAGATTAGTTCAATTTAAGATGATACTCTCATTTGTTATTTCTTTTTTTTTTTGGAGATGGAGTCTCACTTTGTCACCCGTGTTGGAGTGCAGTGGCATGATCTTGGCTCACTGCAGCCTCCACCTCCCGGGTTCAAGTAATTCTCCCACCTCAAGCCTCCCGAGTAGCTGGGATTACAGGGACACACCACCATGCCCAGCTAATTTTTGCATTTTTAGTAGAGATTGCATTTTACCATGTTGGCCAGGCTGGTCTCAAACTCCTGACCTCAGGTGATCCACCTGCCTCAGCCTCCCAAAGTGCTAGGATTATAGGCGTGAGCCACCGCGCGCAGCCTTACTTGTTACTTTCTTACGTTTAATAGAGAAAAGGGATAAAGCAGTTCTAACTAGGAGTTAATAGCCTGAAGAAGTTCTTAAATCAGATGTTTTAATGCTTTCAATTTATATATAATATCATGTTTTCAAATCTAATTATAAATGTTTAAAGCCAAGAATAAATCTTTTAAAAAATTAACTTGTTTCCTTCCGTAACTGTGATCCATGGTTTTTCTCTTCTGTAAAAAGCATTAACAAATGTGTCTATTTTGCTACTCCTTGTAACCTAAGTATTCTGCAAGTCTTATTAATGTGACTTCAGTTTTATTTCAAAACAGTTTGGTTTTCACATCCTAATTTTGCAGTGATCTACTCTAGAACAAGGAATAAAACTTGGGTTTCAGGAGAACAGAAAAAAATTATAAGAATTTCACCTTTTCTTTTTTGAATCCTTGGTAAAACTGCTATTGTCTGTTCTCATGTAGAACACCCATTATATTGATAGATATTTAATGCACACTTTTTTATAAATTATAAATAACATCTAAGCTACATGAACAAAATATGAAGCTTGAGTATATGTGTATATTATCCCCTCAAAAGTGACAATTTAATGATTACAGAGTCAACATACTGCATTATCAGGGATAATGGTAAAAATTTGTGTTATTTATTCAGCAGTCATTTAATGAGATCCTATTGCACATAAAGAGCATTTGCCAGCTTTATGAATGATGCAGACAGTGAACACAATACAAGTCAATACTGGGTGTTCAAAGAGTTATACAAATCAGGAGCCATGGGAGTTGAAAGGAAAAACAGATCACTTCTATAGGGGATAAAGTTGATGGCACTGATCAATTTTTATGGTTTACAGACCAACTATTTCAGGGGTCAGCTAGGGGAAGAAGAGACATTAAATAGGCCAGGAAACTATTCTTTAGAGCTCTATAAAAGTTATATAACCCTAGTGGTCACTCACTTAGCCCAGGTGAGCCCAAAACCCTGAAGCAGGGAGCCAGCCAAGTCAGGAGGGCTTGAATCTGGTCCTTTGAACCGCTCCTGTGAAATCAAAGGAGGGTAATTTCCACTTTGGGCTCTCTGACATTTCTCCCCTCTACTAGCCCAGATGAGTCAAGCCATCCATATTGAGCTGGTTGTGCCACCACCCTATCAACCAAGATGCCCAGGACCACCTGGGCCTGGAAGATGGGAGCATTATTAAGTGGATCATTAGGAGATTATTGTATGTTATGCTTGGAGATACAGAATTTAGCAAAACTGATAACACCTTAGATTCATTGTTATTTACTATTGTCAGCCAAACTTACTCAAAGGAGATACCAGTTTTTAAAATGTCAATGAAGAAAACATTACATACGTGTTGCTGGTAGTCAGGGAGATGTTGAGCAGGTTTCAGTAGTGTCAGATAATGTTAAAACAGTCTCATGTACACAGATCAAATATATAAGCAACTAAATTATAAGGTTGCTTTTGTCATTACCTTTATGATCCCTATTTATTAAAAAAAAGACTGGTAAATAAGCCTGTGATACAGAAAAACTGGTATATTGTTGAGTTTCTTGGCATTTAGGTAATTAAATTTTTTTATTGTTGAATCAAAAAAAGATCCAATGACAAATCCATATAAATTGATACCATTTACAATTTTTAATAACCATAAAAAGCACCATTATATAGGACACTTAAAATAATTTTTCACAGAACATTAGAAAGAAGCTGTTGGCCAACAAGAAGTAGAGCATACGTCCTCTGTGGTCTTGTCTATCGTGATCTTACGCTAAATCTGATTCCAACCTGTTGGAAATTGATTTGGATTCATAAATTCAGCATCAGTATAAGAAGACATTCCAGAGTTATGAGGACTTGATTGTCTTAATGCCACATAAAACATCAACTGCTCATTTTGTAATGAGCATGGCTTTTATATATCCCTGTATGACCTATATCCTGAGGTGCCTAATTTCTTGCACCCCCAAACATTTGAGCTGCCAACTAATTACACATGTTAATAGGCATAATTTTAGAAGTCATTTAGCTATTCCTTTTAAAAGTTAGTGTTTTATGAAGGCAGGCTTATTTTATTTACACTATTAGCACAACAGCCAAAAGTTATTCAGGTTTAATCCTGCTGAATAAAGTAGTAAAAACACAAGGTGTGACTGAATAATGATACTGATTTCCCTCAGTAGCTCCTATAGCTATTAAGGATTTGACAGTATTTTTTAAAAGGATACATCATTAAAATAAAGGAATAACTTCCCAAAGTGTCTACTTTGAAGGACATTGTTCCCAGATGTATACTTTCTGGCACATTAACATTAAAGGAAAATCAGTATCATAGAGTCGCACATCTCACATTTTTAGATACATAGATTATCAAAATAGCAATGGTGCTAAAACTTTTCCTGCCCCCCCACCACTTTTCTCCACCTTCCCAACTTTCCTGATGGAGATGAATTTCCTGAAAAAATAAATAGATCACTTCAGAGAAAATGGTACTGAAGCTTATATATAATATAAACGCTTTATTTCATCTATGAACCTATGTAAATAACGTTCTTGGGTGTGTTCTCAAGTTTTGGTTTCAAATTCTTACCCTAGAGAAAGAGCCTGTTTACTCAAATCTGCAGAATTCCCAGCATCAGACCATGCATATAGAAGCACTTTAACAAATTTTGGTGAAGATAATGAATATAATGACTTTGCTCAGAAACGTTTGAGTTCAGCTATTTAACACTGGAATTGGAGCTCTGACTAAAATGCAACAAAGAATAACAAAAATTGAAGTAGAAACTGACTTCGGAAAATTCTGCATGGCTGTAAGATAGGCCTCTAATATCCATGGTGACAACCGCCCCTTCTGTTATAGGAGCTCTCATTTGTAAATCCGCCGTGGGCCCTCCGGTTTGGAAACTCTGTGTAGGAATTCCAGTATCTGGCATTGTTGGAAGGCAGTGCATTATTACTGTCCTGGCTTCTGTTCATTCTGCTTGGTTTTTCTGCATGAAGCACACTGTGAAAGGTAACATCGTGTTCATACCGTTCTTTCATTCGGTGGATTTTTTCTCTTGAGACACCATGAATGTTTCTTCTACATGGAAAAAAGAAATGCATTTAGTTAAGGTAGGATATCACAATGAGTTACTTATATTTCACAAGTCCTCTAGGATTGCAGATATTGCAGTCCCTGTTCTCAGGACTTAGCTGTGGCAAAAGCACAATATCTTGTTCAGCAGTTCTCTTTCAGCCTCCACTCAGGTTTTTCATGCTGCCCTGCACACCCCCAAACCACCCTGAGGCTAGCAAGGAGCTAAAGCTTCAGAAATGCTTTGTTTCTGGTCCTCTCAATTACGTGCTTCAAGACATAAAAGAACACCATGACATTTTTTAAAAATCATACATTTGCCTGTTAATGTCATGCATATATCTATCATCCTATTTATGTTAATCAGTCCCTGATATATACTACTAGGAGATGCTTATTAAAACAATCTTAAATTCTAGTGGGCAGAAGAATCAACTGGGGATATAGTTAGAAATATAATTACCAGAGATTCCAACTACTGAATGGGGTCCATGAACTCGGATTTTAATAGCCACCTGAGGCAATTCTGATGGAGTAGTCCACAGATCCACTTTGAAGACACTATCTGCCTATTACCATAAGAGGAACCAGCCTTACTCCTAAGAAGTAAATTCTTATCTCACTGGCTATTGTAAGTCAATGACATTATCAAACAATATAGATAGAGAATATCCGAACCCATGCACTCAATCAACAAGTTAGTATTATTTGAACATTTATTGCTGTATAAATTAGAAGCAGCATCTAGATCATAAATGAATCGCAGACTGCTCAACATCTGAAGATCTTTATTTAGCCTAAATGCAAAAACACCACTGACATGTGCAGTCCCATGCAGAGAAAGTGCTTTTCAATGTTCCTTGATGAAGAAGCATTTTAGCAGAATGTTAAATGCATCCTTTTAAAGGACCAAGTCCAAGCCAAGATTTAGCATTTAGCATTATATTAGAAAACTGACCCAAAACTAAAGTCTTCACATTAATAATTCCAAAGTTATCAATTTCCAAGAATTACCATTTCTGGCCTGAAAACTACCATGTCCATTTCCAGCCTGAAAAGATTCTTTTGTTCGGTCTGAAATACCTGAAAATAGCAGGATACATAATGAGGAACTAGAAAAACAAAGAAGTACCTTGCTAACTCTTGAACGTTGAATTTCCAGCGAGTGTCAGGTTCTCGGAATATAACTTCATAGTTATTTTCAAGTGCCTGATTTTTCAAAAGTACATAAAACATTGAAGACATAGTATGTATGTTTGGGAATGTTTATGCTGCCATTTAACATTTACTACAAATCTTTTCTAGAATTCCTTTTGTTTTACCAGTAATCCAATGCCTTAATTTATCATAATAAATGCAGTTGTTTCATTCCCATACTTAGCCACTCTCATAATTCTCCATGATAAATTTTGCTCAATTTTATCTAGTATGTAGGAAATTTGTAAAGGTTCTTTGTTTTGGATATCTTTAAAAATAGATGACTGAGCTAGTTTAAAATGTCCTGAACACCGGTATGAGCAGTGAACTCAGTGACTTCTCAAAGTCACTTACAGGATTTCTGTAGATTTACTTGTCAGATGCCTTGTCCTATCCCTCATGCCTTCCTTTAGAAAGTGGGAGTACCATAGGAACATAACTGGTGAAATAAAAGTGATAGTCACTTACTTTGTATCAACTTCCCTCCAAAAGTAGCTCTCCCCATTATGCAGTACGATTTGGGTCAATGCACCGGGCCCCGTTTCCTTGAGTTTAGAAAACTATTATAATTTCCTTATAAACATCCAAATATTGTTTGCATTCATAAATTGACTACTACCTTATCTCAAACTGAATTTTCTATTATCACTATAATTTATTGTGTTTATAAAACATAGAGTGGAAAGAGCTAAGCAAAAAGGTTTCCTTTTCATTCTTTACATGGGCACTTCTCAGTTGGGAAGTTTTTAAATAACACAACCGGAAACCTCTCATTTTTAAGTCTAATGAATAGCTGAGGATGCCTGAAAAAGAGTATACATATCCAGAAGATAAAAAGTAAACTGAGGCTGGGCACGGTAGCTCACACCTGTAACCCCAGCACTTTGGGAGGCCGAGGCGGGTGAATCACTTTAGCTCAGGAGTTCGAGACCAGCCTGGCCACCATGGCAAATCCCCGTATCTACTAAAAATACAAATACTAGCCGGGCATGGTGGCACGCGCCTTTAATCCCAGCTGCTGGGGTGGCTGACACATGAGAATTGCTTGAATCTGGGAGGCAGAGGCTTCAGTGAGCTGAGATCATGCCACTGCACTCCAGCATGGGAGACAGAGTGAGACTCTGTCTCAAAACAAAACAAAAAAGTAAAATGACTTCCCTTAGGCTACTGGTCAGTTAGTCCTTAAGTCTTGGTTTTAAGTGATGGCCTTCATTCAATTGACTCTTCACGTGCCTGTTCATTTCTCGCCCAGGTAGACTCGACATGAACTGAAGTAACCACAAGTGTGCGGCTCATTCTTCGTTACATTCACCGAAGCCCCACAATCTGGGCATAAGTGGAACTGATGATGATCGTTAGAGAAAAGCACACCTGTAGGTATGCCAGTTAGCCCCAAATGTAAAAAGAAGCCTAACATCGTGAGCCCAGTCTGGACCTATTCACTTCACAATTAACCAGGTAGGGATTCTGCATGATGCAAGGAGGATACTCCACTGTGCTTCCTGCCCCATTTGTATGGTTCTGGATCCTTCCTCCTTTCTAGACCCAATAGGGAATGAAAACATTATCACAAGAGATGGAATATGTATGAAAAAAGACCAAACAGACTTCACAATTAAAGGATAATGTGCACACTGTTACAGGCATCATGCTGTTCTTTGCTATTCTGACAATGGAGAGCTGAGTTGTTTTATATTTATATTTGCATTCTGTCATCTCAATAAGATTACAGTGTTAATCCTAATTCTGTTTTTATTTTTTAATTTTTAATTTTTTTTTTTTTTTTTGAGATGGAGTTTCACTCTTGTTGCCCAGGCTGGAGTGCAGTGGCGCAATCTCAGGTCACTGCAACCTCTGCCTACAAGGTTCAAGCAATTCTCCTGCCTCAGCCTCCCAAGTAACTGGGATTACAGGCGCCCGTCACCACGCCCGGCTATTTTTTTGGATTTTTAGTAGAGATGGGGTTTCACCATGTTGGCCAGGCTGGTCTTGAACTCCTGGACTCAAGTGATCCACCTGCCTCGGCCCCCCAACGTGCTGGGATTACAGGCGTGAGCCACCACACCCGGCCCTAATCTGTTTTTAAACTAAAATATTCTGTTGCCCTGGAACTCCCAGGCAGCAACAGTACACAGTGTGGAAATCCCCGGCTCACCAGAGGCAGAATGGTCCTGTTGTGACCTGTAACTCCACTAGGAGCGTCATCTAGTTGAGTATTGCTCTGCACATTTCAGTGGGTGCTCCTCTGTATGCCTTGCCTTAGGAAAGTAATTAAGACAGAAAAGTTACCAAGAATTCACACCAAGGACCATTTGCCAAGGACTATTTTTAAATTGTATCCTGAAGTGAGATTAGCATCTCAGCAAACTTCAGCCACTGAACAGCAGAGAAACACTAACATAAAACCTCGTTACCTGCTCCCTGAGAGAACTACTGTTAGCAAATATGAAATCATGGAACATCAGAAAAAGAGGAAAGAACAGATGCTTCAACTTTCTCACAAAATGTCCATAACTGAAAATTCAGAATGATACTTCTTCCTACCATGACTGCATAGGGCTTCATTTCCCAGGCGTGGAGGTTGGTATTATCAATAATAATGGGGGATATGCCATTCCTCATTGCTTTTCTTGCTGCAACACAATGTTACATAACAGTGAACAACATGCAACAATCAGAGGGAAGGGTGAGCGTAATCTCTATTGGTCATTTTTATTACAGGATGCCCTCGTCTCCTCATCACACAACTTCAGTGCCACCTATTTCAGAGCCCACTATCAATAATTTTCTTTCTCTAGAATCTAAGGAGGTTACGCTCTGGTGTTCTGTTTTGGGGAAAAAAAATGGCAGAACTTTCGGTTAAACTCCTTCCATTAAATTTATTCATTCTGCAGCAGCTACAATCTATGTGCACATCAGGGTTTCCCAGGAGTTTGGAAAGGAATTTGTCACCTCTTTTTTGGTTCCATTCATGAGCTTCCTCCAAGAAGTCAGGATTGAACTCATAGGCACCATCTTCCCTGAAGAAAAAATCATCCGTGCTGAAAATCAGGGCCCTGGGAAAGTCATGCTGCAATTGTCTGGAAAGTGGAAAAATTAGAGAGATGTTTTCAATATTATGTATAGTCTCAGTAGAAATAATTTCCTTCCATCTCTAACATTTAGCGGTTGTAATATTGAGACCACCAGGTTTGGAGTTGTTAAAATGCAGCTTTAAAAGAGAGAGGTTTATGATGTCTGGAAGGCATTACTCCTTAGCAGGAGGTGGGAGAGGGCTGAGAGGCGGCAGTGTGTGCTGCCGGTCCTTCAAACTAAGAGGTACAGTCACTGCCGCTGCCTTCTGCAGCAGCAAGGACTGACTCAAGAAGAAACTGAAGCTAAGTTGGGGGCCTGGTGACTGTCTTTCCTCCTGAGCACCAATCCCAGTGCCCATTTCTCTCCAAGGCACCAGTGCCCCTGCCCAAGACCTGCCCATGGGTGCCAGACCCCCACGTTGCAGCCCTTCCCTCAGCCCCCTAAACTCTGAGCTGGCCCATTTCCTTGGAGCTCTGTTCTCTGTAAGGACCCATCTGAGAAGCTAGTTCTAGTATGAAATGTGGGTAAGTGATGCATGTGCTCTACTTTATTAGGTAACATATTTATGTTTTAATGATGGCCTGAGCCAAATGGGAGAAAAGCAAAACGGGAGAAGGAAAGCGACAGAGCCACTGTCCCCTAACTTCCTACCCTCTACCACTCTGAGCGTAAGTAGGAAATAGCACAGCAAAAAGAAACACCACCATGGAGCTCCCCTTTAAAGCAAAACCAAAACAAAATGAAGATGCTTATTCAGTGCTGCACAAAAGAACTTCAAAGAGAAAATGTTTCCACTTGAAATCTTTGCTCATACTATCTTTTGGCAGAAGGTGGATGTCATGCTCTGGAGGAACTGGAGACATCTCTGAGCTTCATTTCCTCATCTGTAAAAACTGAGGACAAACAAACCCAGCCAACAAACAGAAAATATGGTCACGTGGCCATGCTCAGAATAAGAAGATATTTAAAAATCGGAGGAAAAAACGTTGGAGAATGACAAGGGCAGGAAATGCAAAGAGAAAGCAAAGCTATTCAATGTCTTTTTTGTTGTTGGTCTTCTCCATGGAGCAGAATGATCTTTAATCCAGGAAGAATGGAACAAACATGAGGCCTTGGAGCCACAGATGAGTAAGCACTTCAGGTGCCCTGACAGGTTTGGGAGCTTCTGTTTTCTCAACTGTAAAACACAGATAATTATCCCTACCTATTAAACAGAGCTTCTAATCAGGCTGAAATGAGGCCAGTATGAGAAAACATTTTGTACCCAGTAAGGCACTTTACAGAAGTAAAGTGGTGTTATAATAACCATGAGGCCACATTGACCAACCCAGACTGTTTATGTGCCATGGTAATAAACACATCGGAGAGCGCGTGTCAAGTAGCCCTTGAGGTACTGCGGTGAATTAAGAGAGAGATGAAAGACAGAAGTAAAATGCTTCCATTTTCAAAAATGAGTGAATATACATTCCAGAAATGGTAACTAAATAGCTGTCAAAATTCTTCAGAAGCTTGATAGCATTTAAAAAGAAGGCAGCGCAGATCGCTGAAAAAGTAATTCCAAACCAAATGCATTTTCTTTTTTAATGAACTAAACAGTGGCAAACAAGGAAATTCAGTGGACATACTATCTCTGTTAAACAGGAATCTGACAGTCTCCCTTGATAGCCTTGTGGGGGAAATGCGGCCAGTAGATAATATACTTTAATACCAAAAGAATATTAGTTAATTATCCAACTCATTAAACATTTAGTGAGCACCTAACATGTGCCAAGTGCCAGGTGAAGCGTTAAGGTACAGAAAGTAGCTGCTTTCAAGGAATTCATGGCCCAGCCAAAGGAGTCAGTCAGCGCAGCGCACAGAGGAAAAAGCTGGCCCAGCAAAGCGCTGAGAGAAAGGGTCCGGAGCCGGGGAAAGGGATGCAAAGGAGTGATGCAAGTTTGACTTAGTCCCTGAGGGATGAGAAAACTGTTGCCTCTTGGGGGAGGGGCTGAGAACACCGGCAGGAAAGAGAGGAGGAAGCGAGTGCCCTAGGGCTTGTTAGGGGAGAAGAGGCTGTAGGGAAAAGCAGAAAGACTAAGGGTTAGAAGAAGCAAATCATCTTTGAAACACTGTTTTCAATTCCGACTGCCACACAATTTAAAGAGAAATTTGGCCACCTTGAAGGTGTCCAGAGAAGAGTGACCAGGTACATACAAGGTCCAGAAACCATGTCGGAGGAGCAGAGTTCATCGAAGACAGGCGGAGTGTTTCAGGCAGAACAGATAATAAAAGGGATAAGGTGATAGTTCTCAGACGCTGGGAAGCCTGTTGTGTGGATGCCGGAATGAACTTCTGTGTTGGCAGTTTGGGCTGGGCTCACGTGGGCCGATCTGCGGGCCTTGCCTGGGGTCCCTGCGGCAGCTGCATCACCTGACAACGTGGGGCTGGGCAGAGTGCCCTAAACAGGGTCCTTCACACATGTGGTGGTGCTGGCTCTCACTCCGCAGGGCTTGCCATCCTGAAAGAGCCGCACCCAGGCCTCTTCACAGACCGCGGTATTTCAAGAGAGCACGACAAGAAGCTGCTTGCCAGCGCTCCCGCACCTTCTATTGGTCAAAGCGAGTCACTTTGCTGGCCCACATTGAAGGGCGAGGAAAGCAGACTTCTTGATGGAAGGAAAAGCAAAGAAAACGTGGCCACTTTAAATCTAGTACAGATAAAGCCAGTGACACGAAGGGAGGGGTAAGTATAAAGACTTGAGGAACCCATGCTCATAGTTTCCATATGAATGTCTGTTATTCCACTTTAAAGATACGCAAATCGAAGAGTCCAAACCTTAACCTCCGATGCAAACAATTATAGACAGGAAAAACATCTAAGGGTAGCACTGATGCATTTTCAGGTATGTATATTTTATATTTGTGAACACTGTACAGTTTTAAAATGATTTTCATCAATATTATTTAAATAATGAAAGTTGTGTTCAGAGATTAATAGTGTATAATGTGTTTCCTTTATCCTCTGTATACTCAGTTAAGCAGCCATGGTAACTGAATCCAAGATTTTTTTTCTCCTTCTGGTCCCAGATTTGATATCCCTTCTACACCTGGTTTCATTTGTTCTCCTATTAAGTCTGCTACTTATCAGTTTTGTTTTGTTGTTTGAACATTTTCAGACTTGAATTTTTCTTTTCATATACATACCCTTATCTGCTCTTGTTTTCCTCTTTGTGGTTTATATTATTGATTGGAAGTTAATACTTTATAATATTTCCTTTAAAAAGACTTTAAGGCATGAGTATCCAATTCACTGTTTGTTTCATGTTTGTTATATTTGAATCCTATTTCCTTCTAGAAAACAAAAACAGCACATAACACTACTGCCCTTTTAATTACAAAATTTTACCTTAGAGTAAAAGCTAAATGGTTCAGGATCACTATGGGGCAAGAACACCATCTCATCATTTCCTGAGACACATCTGACAGTGGCCTCCATACTCTTCCTAACAAACAGGCAGACAAAAATAAGGGTGTTTTTCACCTTTATGGCTCTCATGGAATTTTTTTTTTTTTTTGGCCTGTATGATCTTCCTGAATGACTTCAAAACTCGTTTTATCTTCACCTAAATGTTAAATTAGCACTAGCAGCCATAGTAGTATGTTGAATAGGCAGGACAATAAAAACTCTACTAGCTAAATAAACTGATTAAATAGACAATCTTGAGATTCTCAAACTTAAGTGGAAGCAATAAATACCATTCCATCAACTTCAGAAGTGATGAGGGTTAAGCCCCAGTTCTATCCTTATAGTGATCAGGAGCCTCATGCATTAGGGACATTGAGAGAATGAAAATAAAAGGCAAAAAATAGAAAGGCAATTAATTCCATATAACCTCCACCTGCCACAAACCCCCCTGAAATTCATTTAAAATCACTATTATGAGAGAAACTCAGGGACTAATCTTGATTTCACAACTTATTCTTTTGTGTAATTCTTTATTTAAATAATGGAGAACCATAGAGCTATATTTAGATATCTCTTCAGCCAGTCAGTCACTCACTGAGAAAGTCAGACCTTGCATGTAATTTTAACTTGACACCCAGCTTTTTACTAGGGAAATTTTCAAGCTTGCAAAAGTTAGATGGCATAATATACTCAATCCTCATATACACATGACCAGTTAGCATCATATGGCCAGTCTTCTCTCATGTCTTTCCTATTTCATTCCATCAGTCACTCCATCAGTGTTCAGTCTCCCTGCTTGTCTCACCAATGTTTTCCTCCAGTTGGTTTGTGTGCATCAGGGACCAAACAAGATCCACACATTGTATTTGGTTGCCATGTCCCTTAAGTCTCATTTATCCTATAGTTTACCCTCTCCTCTTGATTTCCACCTGACCTTCTCCACCACAACCTTTTAATTAGAAAATATAAAAATCTATGGAAATGAGTTGAAAAACAGTATACTAAACACTGCTTACCCTTCATCTATGGTCATCAGATGTTCACATTTTGCCTTATTTTATGTCTCTCCTATATATATTTTTGGAGAACCATATGAAAGTAAATTGCAGGCCAGGCGCGGTGGCTCACGCTTGTAATCCCAGCACTTTGGGAGGCCAAGGCGGACGGATCAGTTAAGGTCAGGAGTTTGAGACCAGCCTGGCCAACATGGCAAAATCCCGTCCCTACTAAAAATACAAACATTAGCCAGGCTGGTGGCGCACACCTTTAATTCCCGCTACTCGGGAGGCTGAGGCATGAGAATCACTTGAATCTGGGAGGCAGAAATTGCAGTGAGCCAAGACCGTGCCACTACATTCCAGCTCCAGCCTGAGTGACAGAGCAAAACTCTGTCTCAACTGTCTCAAAAAAAAAAAAAAAAAGGTAAACTCCATACATCGTGATACTTTATTCCTAAATTCTTTGTCAAGTATCTCTTAAGAATAAGAACAATTCCTTCCTTGCATAACCACAATACCATTATTGCATCTAAAAAATTAAGGCAGAGTGCCCTAAGCAGGGTCCTTCACACGTCTGGTGGTGCAGGTTCTCACTCCGCAGGGCCTGTCATCCTGAAAGAGCCTGAAAGAGTGATTAATTCATAAGAGCTAATGTTAGGTGTTTATTTTATTTTATTTTTATGTATTTATGTATTTATTTAGAGATGGAGTCCCACTCTGTTGCCCAGGCTGGAGTGCAGTGGCATGATCTCGGCTTACTGCAACCTCCACCTCCTGGGTTCAAGCAATTCTCTTGCCTCAGCCTCCCAAGATGTTGCCCAGGCTGGAGTGCAGTGGCATGATCTCGGCTTACTGCAACCTCCACCTCCTGGGTTCAAGCAGTTCTCTTGCCTCAGCCTCCCAAGAAGGTGGAATTATAGGCACACACCACCATGCCTGGCTAATTTTTTTGTATTTTTAGTGGAGACGGGGTTTTGCCATATTGGTCAGGCTGGTCTCCAACTCCTGACCTCAGGTGATCCACCTGCCTCGGCCTCCCCAAGTGCTGGGATTACAGGCGAGAGCCACGCTCCTGGCCTAATATTAGGTTTTTAAATTTAAATTTTTAAAATTTCCCCAATGGTCTAAAGAATATTTTTCATAAGTTTCAAGTACTGCATTTGGTTATTATGTCCGGTTAATATCTTTGAATCTAGAACTGTCCTCATGCTCTTTTCGTTTCTCTAGTTGGCATGAGAATGTTCTGCATTCTGGGTTTGTGTAGTTGCTTTGTAGTGATTAAACCCAGATTAAATGTTTTTTAGAAGCAAAGTACAAAGGTGATGTTTGTGTACTTCTGATTGCACAAAATGACAGTCTGTCCCACCAGGCTAAGTTCAATGCTAAGTTCCATCATTTGGCTAAAGGGTGGTGTTAGCCAGACCTCTTCACTGGAAAGGTACCTCGCTTCCTTTGTAATATTAACTAATACATGGGACAAAACTGTGAGCCCATGTACCAATCCAATTCTCTGTTTCCCTCAGCAATCTTTACATCTATTTCTCTGATTATAAAACAAAAAAAAAAAGTGCAAAAAAGGAGGGAGGTTCCTCTATTCTCCTATCTACAAATAATTATTAACATTTTTGTCTTCTTTCCAGGACTGGAAATATATATATAATTTCTTTTTATTTTATCTCTTGTTACATGAAGAGGAACATCATGTAGAGTAGACCAAGTTTCACCAAGCTCTTTCTTTTTTTTTTTTTTTTTGAAGACAGAGTCTTGCTCTGTCACCCAGGCTGGAGTGCAATGGTACGATCTCAGCTCACTGCAGCCTCCACCTCCCGGGTTCAAGCGATTCTCCTGCCTCAGCCTCCTGAGTAGTTGGGATTACAGGCATGTGCCACCATGCCTAGCTAATTTTTGTATTTTTAGTAGTGATGAGGTTTCACCATGTTGGCCAGGCTGGTCTCGAACTCCTGACCTTGGGTGATCCGCCCACCTAGGCCTCCCAAAGTGCTGGGATTACAGGCGTGAACCACTGTGCCTGGGCTAACCAAGCTTTTTTCCATAGCAAATTATTTCCCACCTTATAAAATATTCTTCTATGACATGATTTTTAATGATACGGCATACTTATTCCTACGGATGTGCCATAGTGTAATGCCTAACCAGTAACTTAATGCTTAACCAATGGTCTATGGTTACTCATTTAGTTTGTCCCTACTTCTTTAATTATCAGCAAGATTAGCTTGTGTGTGTGTTGATCATTTAGAGATATTCTTTTGTGAACTGCACTGTCACATCCTTTGGTAAATAAAGCCTCCTTATTAGGAGTTTATCTTTCTTATGGAATGTCAATTTTTTATTATGTACAGCAATTGCTTTTTAATTTTGTTTATAATAATCTCTAAAAGTCTAAATTTTAGTTGGGTTCAGTGGCTTTCTTTTCTTTTCTTCTTGTCTTTGATTTCTCTCATGATTGGCTGAGATTGGTTGTTCCAATAAATTCTATTATTTTTTTAAAAGAGTACTAAGCAGTGAACAAAGAGCTTCGCATATATTCTCTCTCTTTAACCTTTATAACCTAATTTTATGAAGTAAATCATTTTACTTTTACTTGGTTTACAAATAAAGAAACCAGGGCTTCAAGAGCTTAAACTGGCTTGGGTTTCTACCATTTGCATGTGGGGCTGCCAGAGCCTTATCTCAGGTCTACTCAGTCAGGGCACATGGGTGTTACAGACTTTGTGAGCTCTTGGGGATCTGAGAAAGTCTTTGTATGAAAGACAACAGACTAGATGAGAATTACTGAACTACAATCTTTTTCCCACAGGCATTAATATTTTAAATGTAGGTTCCAGTTTAACGTGGGTTCACATGCATTGAACAGAAACCCCAGTTAATGGATTTCTAACAGTGGTGGCTTCAATAAAATTAAAATGTCTATATCTTGCATGTAAAAATCCAGAGGTAGAATCCAGAGCTGGTATCACAAATCTATGATCAACATGGACCCAGGAGTCTAGCATTTTTTTTAGCATGAGGCTTCCATTCTTCAGAGGGCCTCCTAGTGACCACTGCAGGGCCAGGCTGCACCTCCATGTTCCACACAGCCGAAGAGGCAAGGGGGCCTTGAAAACTAGTTTTACAGTTGGGCACACTGCCACACCCAACAAAGTGTGCTTGCTAAAGAAGAAAGGGAAGTTAACTAACAGCTTTTGCAACAGTCTTTCCAGGATATATCTAGATATTGAATTTTTTTTTTAATCACTTCTGAGTCTTCAAGTTAAATATGTTCTATGATATCTTTATTTGTTGCTTTGGTTGTATTTACTCTGGTGATTTTTGGCTATATTTATTTTCACATTTGTCTTCTACATTATTGTTTGATTTTCTGCATTGTAACTCTGCTTATCTCTAATATACTTCAAACTTCCAACACTTACTTTAGATTCTTTTATATATCATTTAACTCCTTTTTAATTTTCTGCTTCTTAATCAACTTCCTTCATATTTCAGACTCCTAATCAGGAGTTTTTCTTTAATCTTTTATATCATAGAGAGGATTTTTTTTTTAGAAAAAAAATGTAAATATAGAGAAAGACAAAAGAAATAATAAAACACCTGCATACCTACCACCTAGAGCTCATAATCATGAACATTTTCTCATACTTGTTTTGTTGGCTTAAAATTCAACCAACCCCCACCTTAACTCTGGCCCTCCCAGACACCTTTACCACGCTTCTCTCTCCCTTTTTCAACAGCACTTGTCACCACCTACATTAACATACGGTTTCCTTAGAGGTTACATCCATTTCCCTACCTCTGGCACATAAGGTCCACAAGGGCAGGATCTTTGTTTTGTTCACTGATGATTCCCAAGTACCTAGAACACTGTGTGGAACATATAAACACTCAATAAATATTTGTTGAATTAAAAAATGAAGGAGCATTACATTTTTTAGATCTATTCATGTTGATATATAGACTTAGTCCATTTTCTTTAATTATTACATAGTACTCCATTATCAGCAAAATAATAAATATAGCCAATGTTTATTAAGTGCTTATTGTGTGCTAACCACTATTCTAGAGGCTTTACATTTTTTACGTAATGCTCAAATAGACCTGGGATATAAGTACTGTTATTAATCCCCAACCCCCGTGTTACAGACAAAGAAATTAAGGCCAACGAGTGGTACAGCTGGATTAAAACCTAGGAGTCTGGCCCCAGAGGTGCACACTAAACTGCTGTGCTTGAGCGCTATAAAATAACCACATTTATTTATGTATTTTCTCTAGTGATACTTGTTTGCAATTTTCCAATTTCAATGAACTTCCTTATGCCTACCTGTTGTGCGTATGTGGACATTTCTTGGGGATATATAGCTCCAGTGGCATACCTGTGAAATCCTTTGCTTATTTTTTGAGAGAACAGAGCAGAGCAGATGCTAAAATTGCCTTTTTTCCTTGAGAATTTTTTTCTCTCTGATAGAATACATGTTCCATGAAGACAGGGATTTTTGTCTCCTTTGTCCACTGCTCCATTCTGACCATCTAGAAGAATGCCAGGCACATGGGAGGTGCTCAGTAAGTATCTGTGAATATATTAATGGCTCTTGGCTACAATGCTCTTTTGGCCTAATTATGCAAACTCTTTTTATTCACCCCCACCCCCACCAAGACAGAGTCTTGCTCTGTCGCCCACAGCTGAAGTGCAATGGTGTGATCTCAGCTCACTGCAACTCTGTCTCCTGGGTTCAAGCAATTCTCCTGACTCAGCCCCCTAGTAGCTGGGATTACAGGCATATGCCACCACGCCTGGCTAATTTTTGTATTTTTAGTAGAGATGAGGTTTCGCCATCTTGGCCAGGCTGGTCTCATACTCCTGACCTCATGATCCACCCATCTCGGCCTCCCAAAGTGCTGGGATTACAGGCGTGAGCCACCATGGCCAGCTGGCAAACTTTTTTGTAAGGCCCCAAGCTGTGTGAGAATTTCTATTTACTCATTTTTGTACAATGAGAATTTTACCCAAACCTTAGATTCAGTTCACCCCTGATATGCTTTGGCTGTGTCCCTACTCAAATCACATCTTTAATGGTAGTTCCCATAATCCCCATGTGTCATGGGAGGGACCTGGTGGGAGGGAATTGAATCATGGAGGCGGTTACCCTCATGCTGTTCTCGTGATAGTGAGTTCTCACAAGATCTGATGGTTTTATAAGGGGCTTTTTCCCCTTTTGCTCAGCACTTCTCCTGCTTCCACCGTGTGAGGACATGTTTGCTTCCCCTTCCACTATGACTGTAAGTTTCCTGAGGCCTCCCCAGCCATGCTGAACTGTGAGTCAATTAAACCTCTCTCCTTTATAAATTACCCAGTTTTGGGTATGTCTTTATTAGCAGTGTGAAAACAGCAAATTGGTACCACAGAGAGTGGGGCGCTGCTGTGAAGATACCCGAAAATGTGAAAGCAACTTCGGAACTGGGTAACAGGCAGAGACTGGAACTAATGGACGGGCTCAGAAGACAGGAAAACGTGGCTAAGTTTGGAACTTCCTAGAGACTTGTTGAATGGCTTTGACCAAAATGCTGATAGTGCTATGGACAATGAAGTCCAGGCTGATGTGGTCTTGGAGATGAGGAACTTATTGGTAACTAGAGTAAAGGTCACTCTTGCTATGCAAAGAGACTGGTGGCATTTTGCCTCTGCCCTAGAGATCTGTGGAACTTTGAACTTGAGAGAGACAATTTAGGGTATCTGGTTGACAATTTAGGGTATCTGGTTGAAGAAATTTCTAAGCAGCAAAGCATTGAAGAGGAAGCAGAGCATAAAAGTTTGGAAAATTTGCAGCCTCATGATGTGATAGAAAAGAAAGCCCCTTTTTCAGGTGAGAAATTCAAGCCAGCTGCAGAAATTTGCATAAGTAACGAGGAGCCAAATGTTAATCACCAAGACAATGGAGAATATGTCTCCAGGGCATGGCAGAGGACTTCTTGGCAACCTCTCCCATCACAGGCCTGGAGACCCAGGAGGGAAAAATGGTTTCATGGGATGGGTCCTGGGCCCCCCAGCTGTGTGCAGCCTTGGAACTTTATGCGCTGCTTCCCAGCAGCTCTGGCTGACCATGGCTAAAAGCAGTCAATGTACAGCTCAGACCGTTGCTTCAGGGGGTGCAAGCCCCAAGCCTTGGCAGCTGCTACATGGTGTTGGGCCTGCGGGTGCACAGAAGTCAGTAACTGAAATTTGGGAATCTCCACCTAGATTTCAGAAGATGAATGGAAATGCCTGGATTTTCAGGCAGAGGTATACTGCAGGGGTGGAGCCCTCATGGGGAATCTCTGCTAGTGCAGTGCAGAAGGGAAATGTGGGGTCAAAGCCCCCACACAGAGTCCCCACTGGGGCACTGCCGAGTGGAGCTGTGAGAAGAGGGCCACTGCCCACCAGACCCCAGAATGGTAGATCCACCGACAGCTTGCACCTTGTGCCTGGAAAAGTCACAGACACTCAACGCCAGCTTGTGAAAGCAGCCAGGAGTGGAGCTGTACCTTGCAAAGCCACAGGGGTGGAGCTGCCCAAGGCCGTGGGAACCCACCTCTTGCATCAGCATGACCTGGATATGACACATGGAATCAAAGGAGATCATTTTGGAGCTTTAAGATTTGGCTACCCTGCTAGATTTGGGGTTTGCATGGGGCCTATAGCCTCTTTGTTTTGGCCAATTTCTTCCATTTGGAATAGGTGTATTTACCCAATGCCTGTACCCCCATTGTATCTAGGAAGTAACCAACTTGCTTTTAACTTTACAGGTTCATAAGCAGAAGGGACTTGCCTTGTCTCAGATGAGACTTTGGACTTGGACTTTTGAGTTAATGCTGGAATGAGTTAAGACTTTGGGGGACTGTTAGGAAGACATGATTGTGTTTTGAAATGTGAGGATATGAGATTTTGGAGGAGCCAGGGGCAGTCCCCACCCAAATCTCATCTTGAATTATAGTACCCATAATCCCCATGTATCATGGGAAGAACCCAATGGGAGATAATTGAATCATGGGAGCAGTTACCCTCATGCTGTTCTCATGATAGTGAGTTCTCACAAGATCTGATTTTTTTTTTTTTTTTAGATGAAGTCTTGCTCTGTCGCCCAGGCTGGAGTGCAGTGGCACGATCTCAGGTCACTGCAATCTCCATCTCCCAGGTTCATGTGATTCTCCTGCCTCAGCCTCTTGAGTAGCTGGAATTACAGGTGCTTGCCACCACGCTTGGCTAATTTTTTTTTTTTTTTTACAGATGGGGTTTCACCATGTTGGCTAGGCTGGTCTTGAACTCCTGACCTCAGGTGATCTGCCCGCCTTGGCCTCCGAAAGTGCTGGGATTATAGGCATGAACCACTGCACCTGGCTGATCTGATGGTTTTATAAGAGGCTTTTCCCCGTTTTGCTCAGCACTTCTCCTTCCTGCCGCCATGTGAAGAAGGACATGTTTGCTTCCCCTTCCACCACGATTGTAAGTTTCCTGAGGCCTCCCCAGCCACGCTGAACTGTGAGTCAATTCAACCTCTTTCCTTTATAAATTACTCAGTTTCGGGTATGTCTTTATTAGTAGAATGAGAACAGACTAATACAGCCCTTAAAGGAGACTGACAGAAAGGATTCTTCTTGGATCCCAGCACCTCTGAATGCTACTGACATTCTTCTTGAAGACTTTAAACTGGGACATAGAAAACAGATTCCGTGGCTCAGCAGCCTGAGAGCAGGGCAGGAGCCAAGCTATAGATGACATGGACAGTCTCCCCTGAGGCCAGGTGTGGCTGGACCTGGGCAGTGCTGCCACCCATCCCACCAGGGCCAAGTCCTGTCCTTGGAGAGTCGGGCCTCAATCACTGCTAGCCTCAAGTGTCCCCAAGCCACAGTGATGGAGACAGAGGATTTCATGGCTAGGGGGACTCAGGGAACAGTTCCCAGTCTGCCCTACTTCTCTTACCTTTACCCCTCATACATCCAAAGTAGACCATGTTCGTGAGATCCAAAGCCAGATTCCCAGGGAGCCCTCATTCTCATTTGTCAGTGTGGTACCACAAACTCTACTGAGCAGAAATTCCTTTCTGTATCTTGCATGTGAACAGCCCCTTTTGTAGACTCTTACAGCTGTGCAGGTTTCACCTGTGTTTGTGTTCTGTTGGTTCAGTCACGAGCAGAATTGGGGAAGGAATCAGGCACACCTACCTCAGTACTAATTTTTTTTGGCTGTCTTTTCCCAAAATGTCATAGATCAGTTACAGATAACAGAAGAGTAACTGTACAGGAAAACTGTCAGTTTGGGCTGTCTGTGCTGCTTAAATGGGAAGGCAGCTGAATCTTTGATCCCAATTTTTAAATTTCTTCTTACTGTAACTATGAGGTAAAGGAGCCGGCACATCAAACATTTTCACCTGCAACAAATAGGAATCATATATTTTTTTTTTCTTTTGAGGCGAGGAGTCTCGCTCTGTCGCCCAGGCTGGAGTGCAGCGGCCGGATCTCAGCTCACTGCAAGCTCTGCCTCCTGGGTTCACGCCATTCTCCTGCCTCAGCCTCCCCAGTAGCTGGGACTACAGGCACCCGCCACCTCGCCTGGCTAATTTTTTTTGTATTTTAAGTAGAGACAGGGTTTCACTGTGTTCGCCAGGATGGTCTCGATCTCCTGACCTCATGATCCGCCCACCTCGGCCTCCCAAAGTGCTGGGATTACAGGCGTGAGCCACCGCGCCCGGCCAGGAATCATTTTCTTATGCACCAAATTGAGAACTTTGGAATGAGTGGCTGTATTCTTTCTTTTTTTCCCCCTTGTCTGTTCTCCACATCCCATTCATTCTATTTATTTTATTTTGTTGAGATGGAGTTTCACTCTTGTTGCCCAGGCTGGAGTGCAATGTCACAGCCTCGGCTCACTGCAACCTCCACCTCCCAGGTTCAAGTGATTCTCCTGCCTCAGCCTCCCAAGTAGCTGGGATTACAGGCACTTGCCACCATGCCAAGCTAATTTTTTGTGTTTTTAGTAGAGACAGGGTTTCACCATGTTGGCCATGCTGGTCTCAAACTGCTGACCTCAGGTGATTCCACCTGCCTCAGCCTCCCAAAGTGCTGGGATTACAGGCATGAGCCACTGTGCCCAGCCTCATTCTTTTACATTTCTCTTTATGTGAATAATCTGCTCTTTGGTTTTGTTCTTTACTCAAGAGCCATGCTGACATCCAAGCTTCCATATCTTAGGAAGCATCTCACATTGCATTTCATTAACAAATCCATTCATCAAATGTTGAGTAAAGGCCTGTGATGTGCCTGGCCTTCTTTTAGGAGCTGGACAGAATATAAAGTTCCTGATCTCATGGAACCTACATCATATCTCATGAAGCTTATGTTCTAGTAAAAGAAATAGATAATAAATAAATATACGTCAGGTGGTACCAATGCCAGGAAGAAAAGAAAGCCAAGGTACAAGGCAACAAATGGTGGCAAGAAAGCCCCTTTCAGGCCCTCTTCTTCAGCATATCCTTAAAACATGGGGAAAGAGTGCT